CAACTTTTCACCGAAATTCAGTTTTATGTCGGTTGCATAGATCAATACAATCCCAAACCATGATTTAAGTTTTACCCTGTATACATTTATCAAGAATTGTTTTCAGGGTAATTCCATCGTGGGCAAATTTTGTTTTCATAAAGTCTCACACTGTTATACAGTATGATATGATTATGAGCAATAAAGTGTGCTCGAAACGTCATCAGTAAACATTACCGTATAACACTGTGAGACTTTATCAAAACAAAATTTACCCATAATGGAATTACACTCTACCACAGTGCACAAGTTTTATTCTTATATCAATTGTTTTCAGGGTATTTAACTGATTTTAAGAACCATTTCATCACAAACCAAAATCACTAAACACTAAATAGCACTTGACGGCTACTGAGTCCTAGTTCAACCCCAATAAGCGTTAAATCAAAACCAAATACTGACTGCTAGTGTGAAAGTTTTAAGTAGGAGTGTCAACAGAAAACCGTGTAATAAACATTTATTTATGTTTATGGTTAGGATTGCCTAGCTGAGCATCCAATGTAATTGTAAACGGACAGTAGAATATATCATTCATTTACATGAAAGCTGGGCGTTACTTGTGGTGACTCCAGTGATAATAATGACCTGGTTAGCAGTTGAGTTACGTGCGTCAGATAGCAGAGCTCACGACTAGTAATTCGAAGGCCGCTGATTGAAATCGTTCAACGATTGAGATATCCATTTCAGGGTATGTCAATAAACATTTCTGACAATACCAATAAGGGGTCTGTTATCACATAAGAAGTAGAAACCTGTGAACCATTAAAAAGAGTAAGAATAAGGGGAAGTTGTTAGCATGAATGAACAGGGAAGTAAAACGATATTCACATGCTAAGGGTGATATATGTATATATAACCACAGAACACGATAGTATTTCGTGGCATAATTGCTTGTTAACCAAATAATGTATATTTGCTAGGTAGTGACTAGCAGTGGAATCCAAAGTGCTCATTTCGTTCTATTCAAGACTCATCATCTGGATATTTCTACATTCCCTTGCCCTCATGTTCTAAGTGGTCTAGTGGGTAATTATTTGGAGTTTGAGACGATGGGTTCTGGGTTCGAGTCTCAGAGGAAACACCATCACTCACCGAGAATGTATGCACATCCACCTGACAAGTTCCCAGTAGAAAGAAACGCGTATCCTAGGTTCTATTGCTTGCCAACATGCCCGAATGACTACAAGTGAATCCTCAAATACCGTCGAAGCGTCCGTACTAGACGCCGGTATGTCAACAGAGAACGGACATTTTGGTTCAGAAACTTTCCTTTGTCTTTCTTTCATGCTTCATACATTGTTTCACAAGGACCTATCAGTTCTCCTCTTTACAAATTATTTTGTTTCTCCACTATGTAATACTCTTGTAGAAGACAAAATAAGTAATATGCTACCAACAAATTCTTTTGAGTAGCGCGCGTCATATTTATATGTATCTTTAATTTTGTGGCACATTATTAGTTATGTCCTATAGTTTCAAATACTCCTGAATTAAAATACCCAAGTATTTCTGCTGTAGAAGGTTTCACTTACATAGGGAAAAACTTAAAGAAATCTTATTTTTATTTTCTAAATAGAATGAGATTATATGAAATAACTTTATAATATTTTATAAACCCTTAAGAAACCAATTACAACCTGTATTCAATATTTCAGTAGCGCACATTTTGTTCTAGGAAATATTTTTTAACAATTGGACATTCAACCAACGGTCAACATTAGTTTTAAATTGTGTACTACTAAACCGAAAGGAAAATTAGATATCGGCTCCATAAATTTTAACTCTCACTGGTTGATTTATTAAATTATCCCATAAAATTATTTTTTCATTTTATAAATGTTATTATCCCATCTTGTTAGGACGTAAATTGTGTGATACACCTTCGTTTGGAAAGCATTTTTTTCTTTATTAACTTAGCGTGTAAACTCGAATAGATAGACTACGTGATGGGAGTGGATAAACAGTTCTAGCCTACTTAATTACACTAAACACCACTTAAGTCTTTGTAACATAATTTATAGATTTAGTTAGGTAATTCAATAATTCATTTTTAGGGTGTAATAAAGAAAATACAAGTGTCGCTGGCATTTTTCCAGAAGCCTACATTCGGATAAGTCACTCACAAGTATTATAATAGTAATAATAGCTTCATTCTTGACGGGATGTTTACACAATATACAGAGTTCTGCGAGTAATCGACTGCATGATATTTTGCCTTCATCCAAAATCTTCAAGTAAAAGAGCCATCTGTAGTTTTCCATGTGACGTACTGCTATTCGATCTGAAGCACCGACTACTCCTCTACAATATTTTTCCATTGTCTCTGAACTATGTTCACTGGAAGTTTAAAGGTCGATTAAAAATATGCATGAGTACATTTGGCAACTCAGAAATATAACTGGATGATTAAGACATTGATAACTGGAGAAATATGAAGTATTGTATTTATTATTGTTTCCTTTAATTCCTAGAGGAACAGAGGGCTTCAGCCGTGCGTCTCCATTGCGTTCGGTTCTCGGCTAGAGTCTTCACCTGGCTCCAAGTGTGCCCACATGCTTTCATCTCCTTTTCACATGACCTCCCCCAAGTCACCCTTGCACTGACGACCAACTCGCCGCTTCCCTTTCGGGTTCCACTCGAGCGATGTCTTGTCTAGTGATGTCACTTGATGGTTTGTTTCCTCAGAGTATGGCCAATCCATCTCCATTTCTTCCTGCCTATTTGTTTCACAATCGGTTCCTGCTGTGTTGGTTCGCTCATTGCCAGAGATCTCTGTTGCTGATCTTTCCTGACCGGCCATCTGATCTTGAGTATTGAGCGAAGACAACTGTTAATGAAGGTCTGTAGTTTGTTTGAGATGCTCTTTATGACGCTCAGTGCAAGTCTCTGATCCGTATAGTAGCACTGACTGACTTCACATTGGAGTTGAAAAACCAGGAAGCCTAGGGATTCAAGCAGATAATGATGTGTCAAATAGCTTTGATAACAGTTCACCAATGTTGAATACAATTCATCCTGTGAGAAAGCGAGCTTTAACGACAGCATTTGTTTTTATTCCTTTAGGTTCCCAGTGGAACATAGGGCTTCAAGCTGAAGCTTGGAATTTTCGGTAGCAGTGGTATTTAGTTTTACGGAATGGAGTTGTTAGCCTCATACCCAACCTTTCCTCTTTACCAGTCTTATTTCTGGAATAGCGAGGTAAAGGAGTGGGTCGGTTGGGGATCGAACCCCGAACCACTTTCGTGGTTGGCAAGCATTCTACCGCTGTGCCACCGACGCATGACGACAACATAGTATATTCAAACGCCTAACGATACTGTTCTCAATATCAGGCGTAACATGCATTTTCCCGGGATCATAAATATACAAATTCCACCAATGTTTAAGGTTACAAGGAACAAAACTAATATGCCGCTAGCGCAGCCTAACACAAATGTTTCTTAATGCCCAAAGTAAACATTTACTTTAAGCAAACCTATTAGAATTTTATTTTCTCTATTTTTTGGTAGTATAACAGATTGTTTAAATGCCAAATGACTACTGGTTTATGCCTAAATTGATTTATTTGCCTGTCCAGTTTTTCCAGCGGATAAAGGGATTTATCAACATTTTTTCTGTACAATTGACTGTATATGATAAGATAAAGAAAAGCTTGTGATAAATAAATGATCAATTTCATTCGCAAATGATTGCTAACATTGTTGATAAAAGTGATGGATAAAGAGAATGAAAGTAGTGAAATGAGTCACAGAACCAATCATGATAAGAGAGCAGTCCCATAGAACGACTTTTCTCCTTGCGCTTAAACTAAATCCCATTTTACTTTAAGTTTTAATATATAATAATCTAATGTGAACCTCATTTTTCTTGATTGGTACAGGTGAGTAACTTTATCTACTAACTCGTTATTCAAATAAGAGGCATTATGATAGGCGTCAATGTTTCACTCTTGTGTTTTAATTAACTGAGATTATCAAGTAGTGGTTTTTGTAGGGATTTTGCTTGATTGTTTAGAGGGTTTCATCATGAGCTGACATCAGTTAGAGAATCATTGGAAAACCTGCAGGGATTACTGGACAGTTGTTTTGTCCTAGTTCTTTGGCACTCTTCAGCACTACGCACCCGCCTTAGGGGTTGAACGCAGGACCTTCTAGTTACAAGGCTGACGAGCTCGCAGTTAATTAAACCGCGGAGAGCCGATCCAATGGCCAGCTCATGAATTCTAACTTGGACCGGGTCCCAGTGGCTTATTGGTCTACGAGCTGGCTAGCCTTGTAACCAGAAGGTCGTGGGTTCGAACCCTGGCGGTGGGTGCTTACTGATGAAGAGTCTCAAAGAGCTAGGACGAAACAAATGTCCAGATCGCCATGCAGGTTTTCCAATGGTTCTCCAATTGATGTCAGCTCATGAAGAAATCCTCCAACCAATCTAAATGAGATTACTTTCGCTCTTTCACTGCAGTGTTTTAACGCATGGCTATTAGATTTCAAGTGTTAGTTAATAGGAAGCTGACTAGTTTAGAGTTTTACTACAGGTTCATATCAGCTACAGAATCACAGAAAACCACGGAGTACTGAACTTTTACTTCGTCATAGTTTGGGACTCTTCGTCGATGTGTACCCCATCGGGTATCAAACGCCAGAATCCGGGTCACGACGACAGGTGACTGACCATTCAGTTACTAGGCTGGAATCTAATGGCCCATGAAGTCTAAATTCTGTCAATTCACGATTTGTGCATAACAAGCTATTTGACAGCATATGGAAATTTCTGTTGACATCGTGATATATGATAAAAGATAGTAGTGAAATTATGGATAGGAGTTACGTTCAGTTAGAATCGAATTGGAGGTTTTTACTTGAGTGAGTCATGTCAAACGTCATTGTTTAACTCAAAGAAATGCATCAAAAACTTTTACCTTTTACTTCAATTTCTTTTCTTCTTGTTCATTTTAATTTTAGAAATAAATAATATAAGAGTGGAAAATTTCTCCAGACCCAAGTCATCTTCTGGTACTTCAGGTAATTTATTTGATATACAGAATAATCCTGAAGACCGATCACGTTTAAACGACTCCTTAGAAAATTTAACAGAACCACTGAATTCGCGTAAACTTTGTCTAAGATTGGCACCTTGTTTCAGTAAATCAAATAATTCCACTTCCTCAGTTGTCTATAGTAGACTCGCTTCAGCAAGGATCGTTTCAAAATTGTCTAATGAATATGATAGTAAAACAGATAACGAACAAAGTGATATCGTATCGTCAAATGACAGAACAAATGGGCAGTTTGATCCTTGGCTGGATACAAGTATAAACCAGCGAATTCACCAAGGTATATATGAATACTTAGATGCTGGATTGGAGGATATACACGAAGAATTTGATAATGTGGAAGAAGAGCAGGATAATGTTGGTGAGTTGGAAGATTCAATTAATACTAACAGTCAAATGGAGAATGATTCTTTAGAGTCGAACATTTATAGTAAAGTTGGGAAACGTCAGCATTCTCGTCAGCCATCCACATCATCTTCCTCATCGGCATCATCAGTATCGTCTGCATTCAGAAAGTTGCATCTTAAACATTTGTTTAAAAGTACAAAATCCAAGAATAAAGAAGTCTCCTCATCTTTACAAGGTATGTTACACCATTTTTATCTAACAGACTGTTTATATGCTTTTAAATATTTTATAGCTTCGTAAATGGCTAACTTTCTTTTCTTTCAAACTCACCAAAACATACGTATTTTATCGCCGTGACATTTCTAAAATGTATTGTTTACATGAGGCTTTCTAGAGTAAAGGTCAGGTCTTCAGAAACCATAACTTCTAAGTTAATAATTGTTTTCCTATCATCAATATTTATACCGACTGATTTTATAATAAACGTCAACCTGTTTCTCCATTTCTTTCTGTTATCTTTGTTATTGTTCACCCCTTGACCTTCAAGTGGAACATAAGGCTTCAGTAGCACATATCCATTATATTCTGTTCCTTATCTTCTTCTTTATCCGGCTCTTCTACTGTCCTCATATGATCTCATTCATGTCACCTTCGGATGTCCAACCCATCGATACCTGTTCAATTTGCAGTCAACGGTCTGACGTGTGATACCACTCAACGGTCCAATCCACCTCCATTTCTTTCTGCACATTTGTTAAGTGGTAGGTTCTTGACTGGTTGGCTGCCCCACAGAGTTTTTCGTTGTGTATCCTTTCTTATCAGTCACCTTATCTTCAGTATCAAGCCAAGGCGGCCACTGATGAACGTTTTCGGTAGCCTGATGGAACTGCTTTCGGTGATGCACGTATCAACTTCCTTGAGCATATAGAAACACTGAGTTGACATTAGTTTTAAAAAACTCTGGTTTTCGTCTTTCTGGTAAGTTCTGTTGATCAGCACACTGATTTCAAAATAATGAACGTCCGTCTTGTTTTCCAACCCTGACTGGCTTTGACACCATTGTCGTCTGTAGCTGAAACGATGTTATCCAAGTAAGCGATTTAGATTTCTCCCGGTGATATCAGTTAGTGCTTGATTTTATCAGTCAGGTATCTTTATCAATTGTCGCTTCCTCTCCGTCTGATAACTTGTTGGTTTTCACTTGTATATTTTTGGATTTGTGCGATATGAGTCGTATGTGGTCCGCGAAATCTGGATCTTCTTGCTTTTTTCCCGCTGTTCAATGTGTGGATACCTTTTTGCTCCTCATGGCTGTCTCAGTTATCTAGTTTACTACAATCAAGAATATCATCAGTGACAGTAGAAAGCCTTGTATTGCTTCTATCCTTACTGAGGTTACTGTAGCCAATTACTCGGCATATGGCATTATCGTATAGCTAGCTGTTAATTGAGGTTTATCACGATTTGTGGTAAGGCATCCCATAGTAGGCAGTTGGTAAATCACCTCGTGACTGGCACCGTTAATGGTCTTTCCAAAGTCTATGAAGTCGGGGTGAAGAGTTGACTGTCATCCTAGGCTATGCTCGATGATGATACGTAGTGTTGCATTTTGATCCGCACAAGACGTTACTCATCCTGAATCCAACTTGTTTTGGTCGGAGTAATGCATCCAGAATATCTTTTTCTCTTTCAAGAATGATGCATCTTAATGTTTTTTGCTCGAGTTATACAGAAACGTGATTCCAAGTCAGTTCTTGTACATAACTACATTTCCCTTCTTTGACGGTTTAACGAAATAGACAGTCTTTCAGCACCAGTCCGCGAATTCCTTACCTTCTTCCCATACCTCCTGCAGCAGTGACATGAGTATGTCCACTAGAGTCGCTAAGTTCGTTTTCAGTGCTTTTGGAGGAATCTCCCATGACACCGGATTTCGGTAACTTTATGAACTATAAAACTCTAGACTTTGTCGGAGAGCAAGTGTTTACCGGCAGTTCTCTGTCTGTTGGTAGTATTTCTGAATGAATCGCAGGTATTGGTCGATTTAAATGCCCTTTAAAGTGGTCAGCATAACATTTACTGTGATTCACATTTCAGATAAACATTAATTCTCCATAAAAAAAATGTAATCCACAAAAGTACAAAAACCGGTAAATACTGCATGAACTGCACTTTAAAAATATCAGACGTAGAGAAATTAGTTGATTCACCAAGAAAAAGTCAACCCACAAGGTAGTCTGTAAAAACAAATTGTAATAAGTGTATATTGACGACTAGAAGAAGCATTTAGCTAATCACACTTTCTGTTACCATAAAAAATTTGAAATGTTGTTTTTATCAAATTATTGGTTACAGCAGATTTGTTTTGATAGTCTATTTACAAAAAGAAAGTTATGTGGAAGCTATATCGCATTTTAGGGAGACAGATTTTGAATAGAAATGCACTCTTTGCGGATAAAATTTTTATATTTGTTATTGCCAAATAACCTATTCAGGGATTTCACTTAAGAAATGGAGAAAAAAGCAAAAAAATGAGCAATGAATATCCCTTTCGATAATTTCCTCTTCTGGCTCTACAATTACATATATTACACATATACATAGAATGTTCTAGAATAGTCGTCAATAAAAAATTAGTGTTTTTATGTAATATCGATCTGTTAGGAAAGATCAGTGGAACTGCAGTTCACTAAACATGCATAAATTATAATAAGCATACAGATATAATAGCAAACAGAATATCAACTAAAATTAAATAAATTTCCACAAAAAAATTGAAGATCATTAGAACCTTGATGGCCAAGGTAAGGACAGTGTCTGAACCAACTTCTTTTGGAGACATAAGTTAGGTTTCTTAATGTAGATCCCAACAGCCGGCCTACCCAGTATGTAGTAGACGAACTCTTAAGGTGAAGTTAATATTCTTTGGTATGCGCTAAATGACTTTGATAGCCTCGTTGACATCAATCTTGTGTTCTGTATCCACAAGATGAGATAGAATGGCGCTATGTGCATGGATTTTGTTTGTCCTTTACTTAAACACACAGGGTGATGTTCTGAAATCCGACGAGCACAACCTATGTAACTGGCTCCACAGGAGCAGTTTAATTGATAGATACACATGAATACACATCACCTTGCTTGGTTAAGTAAAGGACAAACAAAATCCATGCACATAGCGCTATTCTATCACATCTTGTGGATACAGAACACAAGATTGATGTCAACGAGGCCTTCAAAGTCATTTACCGTATACCAACTAATCTTAACTTCACCTTAAGAGTTCGTCTACTACATATTGCTGAAACCGGCTGTTGGGATCTACATTAAGAAAACTAACTTATGTATCCAAAAGAAGTTGGTTCAGACACTGTCCTTACCTTGGCCATCAAGGTTCTAGTGATCTTCAATTTGCTGTGGAAATTTCCTTAATTTTATTTGATATTCCGTTTGCTATTATATTTTTATGCTTATTATAATTTATGCATGTTTAGTGAAATGTAATTCCATTGATCTTACTTAACAAATCGATATTATTTAAAAATACCAATATTGTTATTGACAACTATTCTAGAATATTCTGTATATATAAACATATATATATAATTGTAGATCCAGAAGAGGAAATTATCGAATAAGATATTCTTTGCTCCATTTTTTCTTTTTTTCTAAATACCTGAATGAATATTTTCGCTATAAAGAAATGGAAATGAAAAACGGCAAAATTAAGCGATTAAACCAATGCAGATAGGTATCTGATAATAAATCCTGAGGGAAACAAACTTCATGATGAGGTAAGATACCGAAATGGACTTTATTCATAGAACCAATGAAAACTGAAACGTGTTGAACAGAGAATTTGATCCAAAGTATTACCATTTCACTGAAGTAACTAGCTAGAATTCAGGTTGTTTGAAGTACTTAGACTTTCTTAGCTGAATCATACTGAGTACGCCATTGATGAATACGCTCCTGAACGAGGAAAACGATTGTTCAGTGTTTCGGTCACTTCAATCTGGATAGCAGACTTTACCAGTTGACGTGAGTGGATTGCTACTACTCGCATAAATCAGTAGTATATATATATCAACAATAAAGAATGTTTATTGATGAAAAAAAAGCCTAATCCTATTTTGACATTAATACAGTTAATTAATTTCGTATATGTTTCTCAAAGAAATGTGGAGTGAGTTGAGATCAGATTATTTCTATAACAAAGATGCAATAATGCATCATATGTTTTTAGGATAAATACTCCCTTCTCAGTTTTATTGATAAATTTTTGTAGGCAGGTAAACCACTCAATGATATCAGTAGAGCCTACGATGAAGGACATTTTTCAGATTAAAAATGATTATTTTCTTTGAGACAAAAAGGCTTTCATTACAATCTGAAGTTAGGCGGCCTGCTTGAATCGCTAGGCTACCGAAATTGCTTTCCACCAAAATGCTTAATTTCATCTGGATTTATCAGTGTTTTAATCGTCTACTTATACCTAATGACCCATACATGAACTTGTGCGCTGATTTAACTTGCTTCCAAGAAACCTCTGTGCAATTCTTCAACGAAATGAAGATATCCTTCAGATGATTACTTTACATGTAAATCCTGTATGAAGAAAAAAGTATTTTGGAACCAAATACGCTGAAAATTTTTGCACCATTTGTTCACATATTGTCTGAAATAAAGCTTTATTATTATTATTATTATTAACAGCTTGACGCGATACCAAGCGAACTGGTAAACAGTGACATAGTCTGAACACTTATTTAGAGGAAACAGTGATTGTACTGCAACTCAGTAATACGCAATGCAATCACAGTTTGCCTAAGACAGACATCTGATTTATCATATGTAAGTGACGTAACCGCGACCGTGGTGTAGCGGTTATCATGGCTGCCTTCCAAGCAGTCGATCCGAGTTCGACTCCCGGTGGTCGTAAGAGACTTTGTGCGTCGGTGACGCAGCGGTTAGGATGCTCATCGACCATGCATATGGTCCGGGGTTCGATCCCCGGCCGACTCACTCCTTTACCTCGCTAAGCTAGTAATAGAACTGGCAAAGAGGGAAGGTTGGACATGAAGCTAGCAACCCCATCCTGTAAAAATAAACACTGCTACAGACAGTTCAGACCTCTAGCTTGAAGCCCTATGTTCCACTGGGAACGTAAAAATAAAAAAAGTATAAAAAAGTGACGTAACAGATGAAAAACGAATAGCGTAGTTTCAGGTGGTATAAATAACTGGGATCCAATGATGTTGGAAAGGTGTGGACATATTACGATGCATTGCTTAGAACCAACAAATAAGTGGAAGTTCTATTGACAGGATACGAATGTAAAACAGAAATTCGGTTAGCATAGTTAGACATCTCCAGTCACTGTATATAGATTTCTTCTTTAAAACAAATCTAATACATATTCTTCAGTTTTTACATATGAATCACATGTGTACCCCAGGACTCTCAGGATACATGGTGAGCTCGCTGATCATTCAACCATAAGGTTCGTTGGAATTCTATTACCCACGAATTCTAGTTTATCCAGTTTACCAAATGGACTCCACCAACACTAGGATTCCGACCGATATAAAAATTTAATATAGGCTTTCTAAAAATGTACCTAAAATATAAAACAGAAGCCTGAATAACTTAATATGTCACTGTGAAACAGGCATTTCCAGCAGAGCAGCATTAAGCCTGTTCAAACTGTCTGTAGTTTTTTTAATTCATTTCCTGACAAAGTGTAACATCATCCAAAGAACCACTGAAAAATCAGAAATCACCTCTGAAACACTTCAGCGGTTTTTAAGATCGTGGAAAACACCCATTAGGACATTAGAAAGAAGATAACACGAAGTTCACCAAAGATATCTTTTCGGCGATTTCATTTTCAAAAGCTTTACAATCGCTTTTAAATGCATAAATTAACATAGATACAATTTCTATTTGCAATTAATAGTGTTCTCTGAGTTGGTTGGTTTAGTTACGGAGTTTTCGTCGTCCTTCTGGACAACATCTTCAGCGCAGTGTTTAGCATAAAGTGAAATGATTTAAATTTCTTCATGAATGATATAATTGCGTCTCCTGGTAACTATCTTTACATATCTATTGACCATTTTCTATTGACTTGGATTTTAAACTTTCTGGTCACCTGATTTACTTTTTATTAGTTGGTATATTTCGTCTATATTAACGTGTTTGTTAATTGCATTTTCGTTTGAGTACCAGGCTTCTAGGAATTCCCTGGCACTTTTGGTGTTTCCTCTGTCTAAGATTTTGACATGATCCCAATCAAATTGATGACCATAATTGTCTGTGTGCATTGATACTAAAGAATACATATCATGTCTTTTCACTGCTGATTTATGTTCCTGGATTCTGATTCGAAGGGGACGCCCACTTTGGCCGATGTAATGCTTGTTGCAGTGCATACAATTTATTTTGTAAATGGCATTAATTTTATCCTCTTTTTCTGTTGGATCTTTCGGTTTGCATAGTATTGAATTAAGCGATTTTACTGGTTTGTGTGCTATATCTACATCTAACGGTTTTAGTATTCTAGCTGTTATTTCAGAGATATTCCTCATGTATGGTAGAATTAATTTTCTTGTGGTCTTTGATGATGGTTTCTTTTTGGTGCTTTGATTCGACTTTAAACACTTTTTGATGAAATTTTGTGGATAACCATTCTTTTTGAAGACCGTTTGTAGGTATTTTTCTTCCATTCTTTTCAACTTTGGAGTGCTGCGTTGTGTTTGAACTCTTTTAAATAGTGTCTGCACACAGTTTCGTTTGTGAGTAATTGGATCATTGCTAGTATAGGTGAGTATTTGATCTGTTTGCGTTGATTTTCTATACACTTGTGTTTCTAAATTTCCTGTGTTGCTTCTGTAACAACAGAAGACAAGGGCCAGGCAACAGATCGTTTATTACGAAAAATCAACACGTATTTATAGATTTTTATGTACATTATTGTAGGTCAATGTTAGTAGAAAATACGGCCTGTTGATTGGTTGTTTCTCACACAAGTTAACCTTGCATCTCTTGTGGCTGTGTCAGTTCATCTATATGTTAACTGTAACCGCCTGTCCACCTTGACCTTTGACCTCAATTACTGTCAACCAATTTGGCCAGCAACCATCTCTCACCACAACATGACTAATATTTGATACATAAACATTGACCTCAATTACTGTCCACCACTTGGCTAGTAGACCGCTCTCACCACACTTCTCCTGATTAAGACATCTAAAAGTGGGACTTTGTTATCTAATTCTTCTTCTCTTGTGAATTTGATGTCTTCAAATATGTTGTTTATTAATTTAAATTTAAATCATTTCACTTTATGCTAAATACTGCGCTGAAGATGTTGTCCAGAAGGACGACGAAAGCTCCGCAACTAAACCAACCAGCTCAGAGAACACTACTAATTGCAAATCATCCACCTGAGCTACAAATCTTCTCTATTATTTCACAATTCCTATTTGACTCCACATAATGACGAAGGCGAATGAAACGTGACAAATATTTTTAACTAGATATGGTTCACGAGAGGCTTAAAAACAAAATTACACAGGATTAGAATGAATTACAGGTGTGTAAAAAATGAGCATGGAAACAAATTGAAATAATAAATTTCAACTTGAAATGGGAGTTAGGAGGTGCTAATATAGATTACAAGAGTCTTAGGAACAAAAATATTTTTTACTAGTTTACAATTATATCCTAATCCTGTGTAATTTTTGTTTCTAAGCCTCTCGTAAACCATATCTAGTTGAAAATAATTGTCATTTTTATTCGCCTTCGTCATTATGTGGAATCAAATAGAAATTGTATCTATGTTAATTTATGTATTTAAATGCGATTGTAATGCTTTTGAAAATGAAATCGCCGAAAAGATATCTTTTGCTGGTCTTCATTTTATACTTCAGTGCTTACCACATTTTAAAAATTTCCCAGCAGTAAAATTTTTGAAAGAAATTAAAACTTATAATTAGCTCCGAAAATAATAATGATAATCCAAGCATTTTTTCTTTTCTTTTCCTTCACGTTCCCCAGTGGAACATAGGGCTTCAAGCTAGAGGCATTAAGTTTCTGCAGCAGTACTTATATTACAGGATGAGGTTGCTAGCCTCATGCCCAACCTTTCCTCTTCACCAGCATTATTTCTGGCTTAGCGAGGTAAAGGAGTGCATCGGCTGGGGATCGAACCTTGGACAATGTGCATGGTCAGCGAGCGTCCTAACCGCTATGCCACCGACGCACATTTTTTCCTTACGAAGTACTAATCTTTATTATGCAAATTTATGACAAATTGTATATCCCATAAAATAAATTTATCATTCTCCTCTTTGAATATACACTTAGAATCAGAAAGTCGAAATTCTCCAAACAGTTCACATGAACAAGATATGATGCCTCCACCGTCGAGTACAACTGTTTTAAAACACTCTAAAAAGCATAAAAATATTGGTACACGTATTTTAAATTTCTTCTCTGCTCAACCGAAACATCGAAAATTGGATGATAATAATCGAGCGACAAATGGTTCATCAATTCATTCATCTGATCCACCAAGCTTAATGGATGATGATTCTTCTGAGTTAAGTTTGGGTCAACCATCATCAAATGAAAATGTACAAGTGAAAAGTTCCCTACGGAAAACACAAGCATCTAGTCGGCTTATAGCAACAGATAAACTTGGTCCTCCGCGTAAAACTCGTAAATTGGTGTCAGTGGATAATTCTGGAGAACTACAGTGGAGTAGTAAGCAAATTTTTATTTGACAATAATGTACTATTACACTTTTTTTTCTATTCTGAAGAACATGTTATCGTCACTGATGGGAAACATGTTGTGCGTATTAGCATTTAATCTTTTAAAGCGTAGGATACCTACTCTTATAGTGGTCAACACCACATGGTTTGACTATCAGATTGATTAGATTAGGACACTATTTGAATTGTCCCTGAAAAGTAGTAGTCATACAAGTATTTTCACATCCTGAAAATCAAAAAGTGTTCTTTACCATAAATAAACCAAATGTTTAGGTAGCAGCTTTGATTAAACTATGCAGATGCGTGTATTTCTACATAGGCTGAACAGTAGCTGTTCATTCACATAATACGTCATATGAACAATGTTAATTTCTGATTTTATTATTATACTATTATTATTCCCCTGGGTTCCAAGTGGAACATAAGGCTTCAACAACACATCTCCACTTTGATCCATTTTCTGCTGTCCTCTTTACCTGGGCCCACAATTGACCATAATCCCTCATCTACTCCTTGCCGCACGGTCTCCTCCATGTCACCCTCGGACGACTTATTAGTCGCTTTCCATTTGGATTCTACACAAGCTTTGACCTGCATTGCGCGTGATGTCATTCGACGGCCTCCTCAATGTATGCCCAATCCATCTACAGTTGCTCCTACATATTTGTTGACCCATCGGCTCTTGGTTGGTTTGTTCATCTCCAGAGTTTCTTGTTGCTAACTCTTTCTAGCCAGCCAACTGGCTATTTGATCTTCAGTATAGAGAAGACAGAGGTGATGAAGATTCCCGGGCAACACCACCAACAGCAGCAACAACAACAGACAACAATCAGCATAAATGGAAGGAACCTGAAAGAAACAACGTCCTCTACCTACTTACCTGGAAAGCACCGTTTCAACTACAGGCCGGTGGAACTGACGAGGATATCAAAGCAAGAATCGGAAAAGCAAGACAAGCTTTCACTACTCTCAAGTCTGTGTGGAGGTCAACAACACTCAGCATCAAAAATAACATCCGAATTTTCAACTCCAATGTGAAGTCAGTCAGTGCTACTATACGGACGAATCAGAGACTTGGCCAGCGCGTCATAAAGAGCATCTCAAACAAACTACAGACCTTCATTAACAGTTGTCTTCACTCAATACTCAAGATCAGATGGCCAGAGTTGATAAGCAAATCTCTGGGAGCGAATCAGCACAGCAGGAACGAATTGTGAAACAAATAGGCAGGAAGAAATGGGGATGGATTGGCCATACTCTGAGGAAACCATCAAGTGACATCACTAGACAAGCCATTGCTCGAGTGGAACCCGAACGGTAAGCGGCGAGTTGGTCGTCAGTGCAAGGGTGACTTGGAGGAGGTCATGTGAAGAGGAGATGAAAACGTGTGGGCAGACATGGAGCCAGGTGAAGACTCTAGCAGTGAACCGAACTCAATGAAGACGCACGGCTGAAGCCCTATGTTCCTCTAGGAATTAAAGGATACAATAATAATAATAATAATAATAACGGAGCCAGCCAGCGAAGTGGGCAGCTGTTGATAAAAGTCTGCAACAGACAGTTGGAAATGCTTTTCGTGACTCACTAGTCAAGTTCCTGACCTGCATAGAAGAACTGACTGACTTGACATTTGTGTTGAAAATCTGAATCTTGTTTTTTATGGCGGCTGAGTGCAAAAGACTTGTACACTGTTTTCAGGTTGATGAAGGCGTATCTTGCCTTTCCGATTCTGGCTGAGATGAAACAGTGTTTCCTAGATAAGTGAAATTCTGTGTAAATATGCGTAGATTTAACTAGCATATCAGTAGTACCCTTGACTAATCTCTCATTCCATTTTGATTAGTGGAACTCATGGAGTGAATTTCATCTCATTAATTACTATTCATATAAACGTTTTCCAGTGTAAATCTTAAGTTCAACAGTTACAGTTTTAGTCTTCAACCAGTACCTAGTTAACTGTCATAACAAAAGGTATTGGGTTATTTTACTTAGTTTGGCATTTTTCACTATGGACTGGAGAAGTAGGAATGAACAACCCATGTTGCCATATAAACAGCTTACACTAATGACTTAAGTTTCTTTCTTGTCGCTAAATGACAAGTTGCCTTGCCAACTGAGGTTAATTAGCTGTCTTCAAAATGAAAAAAATAACATGAGGGAATTTCAAGCTACAATGACAAGCTGCACCATTTGAATAATTCGTGGGAAAACGGCCTATCAGTGAAGAAAACATTCAAAGAAATAGGCTACACGAATAAATAAGGCAAAGAAGAAGATTTCAGTACCACTGAAAGAGTTATTTTTTTAAATTTCATCATAAATGGAATCATTTCAAGTAAAATGAATAAAAGTCAATCTGAAGGAAGAATATTCTTTTCAATAATTTCTCTTCAGGTTCTTACAATTATAAAATATAATATTTGTTGTCGTTACAATAAAGGCCAGTTATGCGGCAGATACATTTTTAACGTAGAATAACAGATTAATTATGGGGTGTCAAAATAAATAGTCGTATTTTTGTGACAAACGTGCTAGGCTGAATTCGATTACAAAATATTGTTAAACGGGAGACAATGGTGATTAATCATAATAGATTTGTAGAGTGTGGGGTAGGTGAGTGGCTATTGCAAAGTGGTCTGTGTTAAACAGGAGATAGCAAGACTGCAATGGGAGGTTCATAATGAGATAACGAATATGTGAAATGAAACAGGTGGAGGCATATATTGAGAAAAGAGATAATATCACTAATAATAAGTCCGGATAGTATAAACGAAAAATTCGATAGTATTGAGAGAATGTTTGCATGAAGGGCATAAATTATGACGAATAATAATAATATTTGTAATAATAAGCAAAGGAAAAAAAGCCAAGAGGGTTAAGGGGAAGGAGCACTCTTGGTGAGAAGAAGAATCATCAATCTAAGTTTGGCCACGGTAGGAAGAGCGTCTGGATGAGTTCTTTTTGGATACAAAGTTCCGGTTTAGTCGATCTCATTGCAACAGCTTCAGCTATGTGTAGGAGACGTAAGCGAACTGTACGTGATAACGACTTCGGAATTCGGTATATAACCCTGAAAGCTGTGTTAATATCGATATGATGTCCAGTATCGACCAAGTGTATCTGCCGCATAACTGGCCTTTGTTGTAACGACAACAAATATTATATTTTATAATTGTAAGAACCTGAAGAGAAATTATTCAAAAGAATATTCTTCGTTCAGACTGACTTTTAATTCATAATATGGGAATTTTCCACACTATGAAATCATATAACATGATTAACCTTAGTGAGATAGAAAACCTGTAAGCCTGACAATTTCGGGTAATGATATGTATGAAGGAACAAAATTCAGTGATACACATGGATACTTGTCACTTTGTTTCCACAATTAGTGTCTCGAGAAAGGAATACTAAAGGTTAGATGGGGTTCTAGATTTCCTCACGAACCCATGTTAATTACAGACTGATTGAAAACAAAGAAACAATGGATAGCTGTCACGCCCTGGTTTGGCAGGGACTCTTTAGCAGTGTGCACCAATGACACCAGCGAGGATCTACCCCACGACTCTCAGGATACAAGGTGAGCTCGTTGATCATTCAACCACAGGGATGGAATTCTATGACCTAATGAATTCTAACTTCTATCAATTCACGATGAAATGTTATCACTAACCGATACCATCGATGAGGTCATGGTTATGATCCATAATAGAATCAGGAATGTTCACTGCTTGTGCGTAGGTGGCACAGTGGTTAGGACTCTAGCCGACCATGCACATGGTCCGGAGTTCGATCCCCTGCAGATGCACACCCGATAACTATGGTCAGCCTGCGAAATTTGGGGCACCGATATCCATACTGAAAATTCCATACTTGTACTGAAAATACGGTGTAGCATCAAGCTGTAATCAAAATAAAATTAATTAATTAAATCTGTTATCCTATATGGAAACAGGTGCTCCTTGATTGATTCTCCAAATGACGTCAGTTCTTGATAAAATCTACGCTGAAACTAATCTAAAATCCTTGCAAAATCTAATATCTGGAAAATAAATAAATTTTAACAGTTTTTAATATGGACAAATGTCCGAAAACAGGTCTATTTCATAAGTGTGAAAGAAACGGGGATTATTTAAAAATGATCCTGTTTATGTGTCATGTTTTTGAGAAATACGTTTACCAAATCTTAATGGTCTATATATCTAACTAATAGAGATAATATAATGATAATAATTTTTAAAAAACAAATTTAATCCTTACAAACCAACTATTGAAAATTAATCTGATGCTCGCTAGTGACTTGCTACAGGACGGAGTTGTCTGGAGTTCTAGTGAGAAGTCGTGACCAGTGAGGTTCATCCAGTCAAGTGTGAGGATGGATTTCCCACCGATGACATTGGTTGGTGCCAGTCGCGCTAAATTCATGAATTTGTAGAAATTCAAATTCATTGATTGGCCAGTGGAGTCGGGTCGCAAAGGCTGAATGGTATACGAGCTTGCCTTGTAACCAGAAGGTGCTGGGTTCGAACCCCGTAATTCTGGCGCGTACTGCCGATGATTCCCAAGGAGCTAGGAGGAAACAGCTGTCCAGTACTCCCTGTTGGTTTTCAGTGGTTCTCTAACTGATATTTATCCGTGGTCAAACTCGTAAAAACGAATCTAATCCTTACAAACCAACTTTTGAAAATCATATTAGCTTGACTATGCACGATAAGTTTACACAATATGTGAAATTTTCGCCGACATTTGTCAAACCACGGACATAACTGAATGATTATAACGACGAGAACTAAAGAAAATAAGATGCATTATCTCGGATTGAAATTCAGCTAGCCCAGTGATTCAAACAGGCCGCCAATACTAATACTGGTAGTAAGAATAAATGTTAAGAAAAGCACCTTGAACTGTCTATTGAGTAGAGAGAATTTCACCTAGGTGCTGTTATGTCAAGGTGATGGTCGATTTTTACTGAGCGTTTTTTTAATAGAC